AAAAGGAACGGAAAAAGGCAAACCCACCATAAAGATTTGCGTATGAACGTGCATTGCTTTCATCTCTTTTTCCTTCTTTCTCCAGTCTCCGCATTCCCATCATCTCCTTGCATACACTACATAGTAATGTTGTTGGTGCTGCTGTTGCTTCTGCTGTGCTCATTTAGCACCGAGTTTCAATGTACGATAATAAAGAAATAAAATAAACGAGCTCTACGGAGAGTGCAAAATGCACAGAAACAACATACACAAAAAATAATAATAATAATAATGCTATGGAAAATTTGTGTGATCTTTTGCCGCCGACACGCGAAAAAAAGACCTTGTCTTCCTTCATTGAACAACAATTTCTTGTTTCTGGCTTGTTTACCTCAATCCCAATGATTTTGTTGTGTTGAAAATGATTTTCTTAGGAATTTTTGCACTTCAAAAAATCAAGGCAAAAGCCGGACGAAATCAAACACGAACATTGAAAATCTGAACCACATGAATATATGCATTTAATCGGAATCATTTCATAACACACAAAAGTGCATACACACATTTTTATTAGTCTCACTGTGATCACGTCGATTTAGCTGAGGCAGCAAAGGATATTGACGACTGACTGATTGAATGAATGACCACTTTTTTTTATTTAATATTTCCGTAGTGCGTAACAATAGATGCGCTACGAGTTCAAAGAAAATAATTCGTAGAAAAAATATGCTCTCGAGTGTTGATTCGGAAGCTTTAAAGGAAATATTTCGAAATCACGAAACAAAACTGCTTTGTGAGATTTTATTATTCCAAGTGAATACATTTTTCATTCAAATTAATTCATCAATTTTTTCTTATTCATTTTTAATGGATGCATAATAATTCGGCTTTTTTTCGTTGAAAATCGATAAATTTTTGTCTTTGGTTACGAAACCATTTTTACATAAAAACATTTTTTTTTTCGCTTGAATCGATCAATTTAGGCTGACAGTCATAAAATCGCCAAAGTATGAAATTGTTTTGGAGTGTGAAAAGTTTCTCGTAACGAATTTAAATATGAATGGAGTTGTTAATTGCACAAAGATTTGAATAATTTTTTTCCGTCTTTCGTAATAACATTTTTTTTTTCTTTAATAAAAAGTTAACTTTTCTTCCATCGACGATTTTAAGAACCTCCTATTCAATGGAAAGATCGAACATTAAAATCATTAAAAATACCAAATTAATTTATCTAATGAGTTTGAGTTTACCATTTAAAAATTTAATGTTATTCACTGCAATATATGCATCTTTTATTATCAGATAACTAGCAGGTTATACTCCATTCATAAATCTAAATTATTCTTTTCCTTGAGTAATAGATAGAAAAAAAAAGAGTAAAATCAGACTTGAATGATGAATGAAATGTTGTTATCGATATTCGAAAGAGTGTTCATTCAATATTTTGAATGCCATATCGTCTGCTAATTCGTAAATATCGTACCAAATTGGTTTACTCCTCTGTTTATTTTATTATTATATTGCAAATCCGTCAGAATGTCATGTAAAATTTATTATTTTTATGAACTTCCATCAATATAACTGTATTTATATTTGTTTTTGTATTTGACGTTGACTTCATTAAACGTTCATTTAGTTCTTCATAGAAAGATTTAAAGCCGTCCATTTCGGAAAATAAACATAAAAATCTCTTGAAAGTGTAATTACTCGCACATAAATCTTACCGAAAACAAATCACCGTAATCAAACTTGTTAATGTTTCATTGCTTGTAAGATATTGTTCATTAAACTGGTACATAAATAGACACTTGGCGTTTCGATTTCAAAGTAGTTGACGTTCGTTTATCTGACATGAGGCACTGGCAAAAAAAAATGTTTTTAATTTATTAAAAATGATAACCCAAATCGAAATGAACAAAAGACAATGACATATACATTATACCTGTTTCTTTCGCATACAGAAACGAAAATAGATCAACAAAAACCGATTTTGACGATTTTTTTTTTTAAATCAAACACTTGAAGTGTCATTGTTTTTGAACTTCACATAAATCATTTTGAAATCTTTTCTCGGTGGAATCGTGCAGGGCGAACTCAAGATAAAAATATTTGGAGTGATTAAGATTACACAAGCCAGTACCTGCTTCGTCCCCAATGTAAGCACTGTTATTGAGGAAAATTAATCGATACAAACAATGAACTCATTAACTATTCCTACATTTTTATCCTCAATGAAACAATTGACATTTTTTTATTATTTTTTATTACATTGAATGGAACTTCATTAACACAATTGAGACAATGAACTTTTTTCATCGACATTGTTCTAGGTAAGAAAGATCAAAACAATGTTCAAGCGAAAAAAGGACTAATTGATATTGTTTCTGGCACCATTGAATCTGTGCCATTGGAATTTCGAGAGTCCAAAATCCAAATGAATTATTACAAGCAATCACTGGATACGAATGAACAACGCACTGATTTAGTGCTTGAGGTGCCTATGAATTGCCCGTGTCGATATGCGGCTTAAATTTAAATTGTATGTTGTAAAAGGATTAAAATGATATTGCAGCGATTGATTTATTGTTCTGTATTTGTGTTTACTTGTGAAATACCTCAATACACTCATTTAGATTTCTAAGTCCACATGTGTGTACCTCCTTCTTATTAATAGTCTAATCTTGATAATATTGTTAAGGTAATTTGGTGAAGCGCGCGAGTGCGATGATCAAACAGCCATTTTATTGTTGGGATATATCATTTCTCACACTCAACATTCATTCGTCGTTGTCATTACAAAAGAGCGACGATGCTGGTGCCAACCGATTTGGACCTATCGTTGTTGCTTCTTTATTTTCTTCATTCCAAACTGGTCATTTTTTATTTTTTTTTTCTTCAAAAAAAAAAACATGAGAGAAAAATGGTTGAAAAACAACAATAATGGAAAAAAATGGTCGGTTCTTTGAACGATTAGTCTCTCGTCGGAAATACATGAAATTCAAGAAAAAACCACATCTAAAATGATGACTAGCATTCATTAAATTGCTCAAACAGATATCAAATCAGAAATGGAGACGATGACACGGCGGCAATAAATCAAGGTGCTTCTGATCTCTGTTTCATGCGATGCGAAATACATTCATCTAAATAAAATTGTTGTTTTTTGCTTGATAGAATAGCTCAGCGTATGCAAATGTCGGTTAAGGATAGAGCATTGGTTCCACTGGTGTGTTAATACAGTCATTTCCATAAAAGTAGCATAAGGTTATTCATTTTGTCATTTTAATATATGATTAATGTGTGCATTTGTGTGCATTTTAATCGAAAAAAAAAGTTTTTTTTTTATTTAATTGTTAATCACATGCCGCGGCGTTCATACGTTTTCTGAGCTATTTGTTCCACATACATCCATAAACAATACACCCAAAAAGAAAATGTGATATTAAATGACGCTTATTATTTGCGTATGATTTATCGCTTACTTTAATCAAATAAAATTATCAAACATATCAAGTCATACAAATAGAGAAAAAAAATGTCGAATCGAATAAAAGAGCGGCAGTACAGCGTGTGAGAGACAAACTAGACAACTTTGAGACCGCCGATGTGCTTTGAAGAGACGACATAGAAATATGTACAAAAAATATATAGAGACGCTTATAATCGATTGAATCAAAACTCTTTGAACGGTCGAAAAAGAAGAAGAAGAATGAAAATGGGCATCACAAAAGCAATGCCGCAATCGCGCAAATTCTATTTTCTTTTTCATCAAATTTTTAATTTTTTTTTATTTCAAATGACGTCGTTCAAAATCGATAGCGGCACAGTTGTGAGCCACAAAGAGCAAAGGGGAAAAAGCGCGCGCGACCAAATGCAATATGGCCACAAATAACAAATGAATGAAGCAACAAGAAGAGAAAAAAAACATACACATACATTGGATATCTATTTTATTAACGAGAATATAACCCGATTCGACGGGATTATTATCTAATATGGCAAATGTGATATCATCAACGACATGCCTGACTCTCTGTGTTTCGCATGTTGTTTGTCAATTCAATTCAATTCAATTCGTGTGGTTATTTTTTTTATTATTATTTCTCACAAATGTCTTTCGAAAATGAGAGAGAAAAAAATGCGCGATCCAAATCTTTCAGTCGTTACTACGTTCATTTTGTTGGCCATTGGGATTGGCTAAATCATGCAATGTGCAAGTTATTCGATTCGAAACGCTTCCATATTAACAAATGCCTGTTTAAATACTACAAATGAAATGAACATAAATAGGCTCCACCCACCCGGACTACGCACATGTGTCTTCTACACATCACATACAGTGATAGACAGAGTTCGCGTATATGAAAACACAACTTGTACTTCTAGACGAAAGATAAAAAAAATACAACAATAACAATAATATACACCATAGAAACTCAACACAGGCTAGTCGAATGTATTTGCGCTGCGCTTGTGTGAGTACGAAACGAACGAAAGAAGGAGTCACACAATAGACACAAACAGCTTCGGTGCAGTGTGTTGAAGCAAGTCAGCGTTTTTGGTGTGGTGTACGAATTCGTCTGTGTCAGTGGTTGTACGAGTACATCGAACATAATCTCTTTCTCGTTTTGTTCACAAAGTTATTGCGGTACAATAGGCATTTGCTAAGAATTGATGCTTATTTGATTTTTACCTGATGCAGCAAAACGGTATAGACGTTCTGCGAATTGAGTTCAGTTTAGCCGTAAACGTAGACTCAGTCACTACTCATTTATTGTGTGCTGCTCCGACTGTGCTATCGACAAAAAAAATATAGAAAGAATAAAGTGCTGTTTTCACACAATCAGTCTCTATAAAATACTTGCGAAAATATAACAACAAATAACAACTATTGTTTTGATGTCGTTTGACATGATTTAAAAGTTCTCTTTTTTTTGCAATTAAATTTCGTTGTTTTATTTTGTTGCTGATTTTATTTTGTACGGTTGTTTTTTTTTTTCAATGAAAAATATGAAAGTGATTTACTTGAATGTGAAAAAGTAGGCTAACGAGAGAAAAACAAGAACTTTATTTCGATTCAAAATAGTGTTCAAGTGTTTGACAGACAGAATTTTCAAAAAATAAAAACTTTAAAAATGGTGTCATTACCGCATCCGTTTGTGTATTCGCAAAAACATGGATCACATTTGCCATATTCGTCAACACCATCGGCTTGGTATCCAAATTATTCATCACATCATGCGACCCATCAAATGAACAATCACATTTTAAATGGACCAACACCGCTTGGCACCGGACTGGAGTCGGATACAGCCGCCCCATTTTATAATGCCCATCATCATATGTTGCATTCGTCAAGTCCGGATTGGATACATGATAATTACAACCAAATACCAAATTCGGCGCAATTTTTTGCTAACGGTATGACACCACCGTCCAGTTTACATTTGAGCCCAACGATAAACAATCTTCATAGTTCAAATAGTACAAATGCAAATAGTAGCAGCGATAACTTACAAAATGGTCTACAAAATATTCCACCATCACCGCCGATCACCGTGAATTCAGCATGCAGCGAAATGTCAAGCCCAGGCATTGGTTCGAATGGTAACAGTGGCGTTATAGCCAATGGTGATGCATCGCCCAGCATGACATCGGCCAATAATTTATCGCGACCAAAATCACCATATGAATGGATGAAAAAACCATCGTATCAAAGCCAACCGAGCTCTGGTATGTAAATTGTCTTTTTTTTTTTTCACTCAAGTATACTTTATTACATGTAATTCACATAACACAACAACGTTGTGTACCTACGAGGATTTGATTCATAATATTTTGCTAGGTTATTCACGGAAATCCGTAATAAAAAAATTGTCTTTTCTTGTTTCTCAAATAAAAAGTATCTTTCAAAATCATTTCAAATATTCCAAGTAACACAAATAACAAACCTAAAATTTTTTTCAATATAATTCAATCGAATAGAGTCAGCGTATAAAAATGAACTTTTTTCCACAACTAAATTCATCAATATTCCTTTCAGATCAAAAATTTATGTTTTACCTCAATTGTTGACAAACAAAATTGAATGACACATAGTCATCAAAGTGATTTTTATTTTGCTTTTATTTTATTTCCTCTGAAAGAGCTGTAGCTATTGCATAGATTTTGACATAAAAACTGACATTGTTTGACAGTACAAGCGTCGGAATTGTTGTTACTTTATAGCTTCGTATCGACTTATCGTTTCTTTAAAGACTATTCGTCACTTTTATCGTTTGTTCTGTTTTTATTGAAGCTCTTTGGCGGGCACTTGATAAGCTGTTACAATTTTCAATGTTTACATTTCAATATTTTATTATTAAAGTTCAATTTAATGGTCGCAATAAATCATGCTGTCACAGCAGTTAACCCACAGCTGATTTTGTACTCAATATTATTATATTCATCCTAATTCTTCCTTTTTCCAAACAATAAAAAAAAACATTAAATTATCAGGAATAGAGCACTGCACCTCATCCATAGACGATTATGCATCTGCAATGGAATCGAATGGTATGAGAAGAGTTTTTTTTTCTCTGATTGATTCATCAATTTTAATTGGTGAATAGCTTGCATGAGAATTCTATTTTTGTAGTGATTGTATCAGGTTTTTTTTTTCAGTAAAGATCTATCTGTATGATTGTATTCCTATTGTTTGAATTTAAAAAAAAATTTGATAGAAAATGTGGGCAGGTTTTTTTTCATATAGTCGCCATTAGAAAAATCGAAATCAGGTAGAGATTTACAAAATTAAATACAAAAAAAAACACACAACGAAGTAGAATGCATGTATAAAAAATGGCCGCCATCGCTGAAATAATTACATTTTTTATCCAATGCGCGAATCATTTCGTTTCAATTTAATTTATTTCCGTCTTTCGTGACTGAAAAATCTACTGCGGATTAAAATAATAAAACTGTGTTGTTGATTGCTTGTTTCGTATTCATATGGAATAGAAGAAAAGAAGAAAATATTTCATTTCAGTTGTTGTTGTCGTGTATTTTTTTTTTGGAAAAATCGCGTGATTCCGTATGCTTCGAGCCAAAAGACATATCGAGATGGATTCATGGCAAATGCAAATGAGACAAACACACATGGCACACAAGCCACAGATATTTATCGACACTTTATATTCCATGGTTTTATCAACATATAATGAAAGAAATGAAATGAAAAAAAAAATAAAACGAAAATTTAATTCAAAATGCAGCATTTCGTGTCTACACATATTTTTCTGGTTTGCATCATTAAAAAAAATATATATGTACGCCCGGGTAGGAGTTGCCGCTATTTATTTCACACATACACATATTTTTTTATGTATTTTTATTGAATGATCGCCGAAAGATATATGCACACACATACGATGGCAGGGTTTCTTCTTGATTCTTAATTTCCATATGAAATTGGAATGGTTCGTTCGTTCGCTCGCATTGGCACCGCACGCCATGTTATTACACAAAAAAAAAAAATAAATAAAAACAGTTTTGTGAAACACGCGCATATATGCACAAACACACAAGAATTGAACATAATTTTTTCGAAAATATTTTGCTCTTTCTTTCTCTCGTTCATTCTTTGGGCCGTATTTGAAACACGGCAGCAACATTGAGAAGCACCACAAATACGAAAAATTGTATATATATGACTTAAACATAATAATAAATAATTGGATGTATTTTTTATTGAGGTGCAATAAAAGAACGAGCAAAATGAAGAAAACAACCCGAGAAAAAATGCTCGAATTAAATATAGTTTTTTTTTCTGCTGCTGCGCTGCTTATTTCTTCGTATTCATTTCTGCCGATGTATTCCGCGAAAAATTCGACACACAATTCAGATATAGATTTTCGAGCTAGTTTTCTTTCGTAAAACACCTTTCCGTTTGAATACAATTTGCTCACAATGTGCGAACAAATTTAAAGTTTGAATTGAGTTCAGTTAAGCCAATTAATTTTATAATTCGATATGTGTAAAACGGCATTTTACACTAAGGCGTGTGCGCGCCCGCAATCGCTCCACACAGCACACATACATTCTCTGTGTGAATGCGTCATGGTATCCGTTATGATGGAGTGCTTTTTTCATCTGTATAAATTTAATTGGCACATTGTTTTTCAATACTGAATCATTTACAAAATGGCTTTTTGATCGATGTTCTCCTTTCACTTTTCCCTTTTATACACGTCTTTCGAAGCCTTCTTCACTTTGTTTTCTTCAACACAAAATGAATGCAATACATCTACCACCTTTCAAATTACTTTCATATTTTTCTTCAATTTCTGTCACTTGAAATGGCATTCAGATCGACGACAATATACAATGCCGTTAAATGGCGATTTTGTCTGAAATACATGGTTGTGTATCGTTATTCAATGTGGTATGTAATGTACGTTAAACGGTGTTAACAAAATAAACAACAATAATCGTCGAGCCCATTGAATGTGAATAGAGACGAAACAAGTACAGCACAAGAATAATAATGACAAGCACCACTTGTCTCTTTTCATTCGATAAATGTGTTTAACGCACACACCGAGTTTGGTGTATATGTGGTTGCACCGAAAAGTGTGGTATGAGATGAGATAATGCGTGCGGACAGAAAATCACAACCCTCCAGAGAGCCATTTGCGGCACAAGATTTATACATGTGCGCACATCTTTTTGTGCGGTCGAGGTTTTTTCTCGCTCCCTTTCCGTCATCAACCATTCGAAAAGTATGTGCAATTCGATGCTTGTTTCATTTTTCTTCTTCTTTGCTTTTCTGGGTCGATTTTCATGAATACCAAATACCATGATCTGCATACGCAGAAGAACTCTCTCTCTATCTCTGTTACTTATTTTGTTTTAAAAAAATAAAGTTGCCGTTCATCGCAAAAGTTACAGATTTTTTTCTCGGTAAAAACTAACAAAGACTTGACAAGTTTGTACTAAAACTTTGCCGGTTGAAATGAAAGTTGTTAAAATCGAAGAGGCAAAATAAATCTCGAATCAAATTAATCGTAACGTTTACAGAGAGTGTGTAGATTTAACGCACTATGTCTAACTAAGCGAAACGGTTTAGGCTTCAAGAAATCTCTTTGTACATTTTCGTAATTTGTATATTTCTATCTCCCATTTGGTGTGTGGCGTCAGGCAAACCATGGTGTTGCATGAAATATGAAAATTGCTTAATTTTAGATAATTTTACTCCAGAGACGAATTTTCCATTCGGTTTGCCAAATCTTGCAGGAGTAAAAGAGCAAAAATCCGAATAGGCATCGTCGATGTACGGCTTTTTTCTGCTTACGACGTACATTTTTTTTTCATGTCAAACACTCAATTATTATAATTGTTATTGTTATTAACAAGGGCAAGTTGCAATTAATTTATTCGCATTCAGTACTACATCAATTGAGTTCCCTCCTACATTCATTGAGCTGGTGTGCGAGTCGATTCAAAGCAGATGCGCTTACAATTTAACATGTGGAAAAAAAAACAACAACCACGATGTTACAATTTAAAGTAAGATATAAAAAAGCCCCGAATGATGAAGTAATGATTGCAATCGTTACTTCAATTGACTTGATCTATCCGTCCTAAATGAAAACACAAACAATGCATGGATCCTCTCCATTTAATTTGGATGCGGCTGAATATACTTTATTTTTCATAGACAGTATAGTGTTAATTAAATTGTTATATTTGGTTCTATTTGCTTTTTTTTACTACTGCACTACGCACTGCGTACCAAGTACCTTTTTTTATTTGAAAAATAAACATTAGTCAAACTCTCTCAACATTGTCTGCATTGTTATAAAGATGATAAATGGGAATGTTGTGTTCTGTGTGTGTTTTGAGTTGTCTTTTTCTGGGGAGCGATCAGCATTGATTCCTTTGGAAAAAAAATACTCGACACACTTTCAATGTGCATATATTTATTCATGGTGATGTGCATGTACCTGCGTGCAAATCATGCAAATGAACGAAAATATAGCCATAAAATTCTAAATATGCATAATCTTATTTTGTACCTCTCACACTCTGTGCTAACTCGGTTAAAAAAAATTACCTGAAATTAAGAGTCAATTGTTTGCCATTTTGTTGGCTGAACTTTTTTCTATCATTCTCGACGTTTTTGGTATCCTTCACAATGCGGCAAATCGTCAAAACACCCAAAAAAAATATTTTATGGCCGTGCCTGTGTGCATGCATAAAAGTGCCTTTTGTTTATGCCATAAACAAAAAAAACGATGACGATCGAACGAAGGCAAATAGAAAAGGAATCGAAAATAAAATTTCAAAATGGTTTTATGGCTGCTGCCAGCACTCTGCTTGTACCAAAGTCCTTTTGAACCTCGAACCGATGGAGACAACCAAAAAAAAAGTATAAATAAAACAATGGCATTGATCATAACAAATTCATATATTCGAACCGAAAATTGAGATATCTGCATTCGTTTTATGGCAAGGATAATACAATAACAAACAATTTTAGTGTGCAACAATTGCTTCTATTGCAAATTGTAAACTAACAAATATAATTGTTTTGAAACTTTGAATCCAATTGCTAGTTTGGGTATTTTCTTCCGCTCCTTTCTGTATCTCTCAACATCTTTTCAGTTTTCTTTCACCATGTTTTCTGCAAATAGATGAAACATTTCAAAATAAAAAAAAGAAAACAAACAATTCCAAACAAATTGTTGTGATCGCACAAAAATCCAATCGACATGAAATCATGCAGTGTTCATGCTGTGCATGCTGACCAATGAACATAATGAATTTGGAACGGAAGCTCAATGTGGCCACTTTAGTTTGATTTGGATTCATTGTTTGCGACACATTGTTTGTATGATTAAAATGGCAGATTTGCGGGGAAGAAGCTGGGCGCGAAAAATTTAGAACAAATAAAAAGATGTTAAAAATGACATGTATGCAAAAATTGAGCAAAACTGAATTTATTGGCGGTTCCATCAATAAAGCAATTAAGATTGTTACAACTAATATGTACGACAACATTGACGCACAACAAAAGCAGCTAAAAACAATACACATACACGCCGTTTATCTTGAATTTCGTGTGTTCTTATCAACGACGTCGTTGTAGTCGCACGGTTTTGAAAACATCAAATAAAGACAGAATGATTAATTTACGTCACCGTCTTCACTGTCTGTTTTTGTATACTTGAACTTTATTTGGCTAAGGATTTTCGAGTTAAACATTATCCGAAAAGAGAAATGAAATCTTCTACGTGATGTTCGAAATAATAAAAAGTCGCACATGGCTATATCATTTTGAACAGGGAAAAAAACTGCGACGGGAAGAGAAACGTACACAAACAATATGCGCACACACGCGAACAGTACGTGTGTGTGTGAGAGAGAAACGGAATAAAAATGGAAGAATGTGATTGATAATAATTGTTGCGATAAAGCGAACAATACGATAAGATTTTCAAAATGTGTGTAGAACACCTTTGCTAACCTTTCGAGTTAATCAAATTCAACGTGTAATATGAAAACTAAATATATACCCATAGACGGGCCGTGACACAAAGAGCCGTAATTACACTATATAGGAAAAAAAAAGTTTGTACGCCATTCTAATCAATTTTCGAACCGTTGCTTTTTATTATCTTTGAGTTTTTTTTTCGTTAAATATATCCTGATGCATATTATATTTTTAGAATTGGTATTTATGCCAAATCATGTGTTTTTCATTAAACAAAATGTCGATATAAATTGATGCAATTGCTTTTTGATTGTTAAAATAAAAACAAGTCTGATTTCTTGAATTTGTTCAGTATGACAAATGTCTAGAATTCATAAAGAAATACACAGGACTGACGTGAATGTCGTCAAATCGCAGACTTTTTACTGCACTCAGTCGATTTTATGGCAGCGTTTTTGGAGCGGCGCGTGTTTCTCATTTCGGCACAATGTCAGCAAATAGATCATAACGTCAATTTATCTTAGACGGTGAAATCGGTTGTTAGGGCACGATGTTATCTAGTTTGTTTGTATGATTTTTAATATCTGTTTTTTTGTTTTAAAACATCAATCTTAATAATCGACATTTTAATTACAAGATGTGTGAAATAAAAATGATTACCACTTTCAGTAACGCCATTTGCGCGTGTTTTTTTGGATATCGACCTATGTATTTGAATTCTTTCTTCTTCAAATTTCCTTCCAATGTTCAGACTTTTATCGCTTATGTTTGCTCAAATTCATTTGACAAAGACATTAAATGTGATCTCTAGCAGAAAAAATACACATTTTTTGCCATATATTTTGATCGCTGCTATATTTGTTCAATCTTCGTTTTATCCGTTGCTGTATGACTTTGATCATCATTTGTTTGATATTTGATATTTAAAAAAATTGTTGTGTTTCGTTGGCATTTTGTTAATGGAATCCATTTACAAGAATTTCGAGTGTCACTCACAGTTTAGCTTGCATTGTTGATTGCGTGTGTATGTGTGTATTTTTGAATGCGCGCAAGTTTACTCGTAATGTATAGGAGTGGCAAATTGAGCTGAAAAAGCGTCGTATGTTGTATGTTGGGAAATGTGCGTTGTCCATTCATGCAATTAACATCGCCATAAATTATCCGCGCCCACGGTCAAAGTGGATACACACCAAAAAAAAAAACGAACAAAACGACCGACAACTGGCTGGTTTTTTTTGAATGACCAATCAGCAAACCGGACAGAGGTAGTCAAGTGATCACATGCTGGGCATTGTTAATTACCGCATCTGCTTACCATCTCAAATGCATTTTATACATAAGCACTACGAAATTGAGGACAAAAGGGCGACCAATGATAACGATTTTCTCACAATTTTTATTATTCCAACCTTTTTTTTTGTGTATTCTTTTTTTTGGTGGGATAATTTTCATAAGACCGCGTCTTCTTTCAGATTATATACATTTTCCGTCTTTTCAATTCGAATCATCCATTTATTTTCATCTAAAATCTAAATAAAAAAGAATTTATGACACATTCAAAGGGGCAAACCGATTCGAACTTCTATTTACTCTAACCCAATTCAATCCACCACATGATGCTGCGATTAAAATAACTTTATTATTTTTTTTTCAACGCTTTAACAAATAGATACTGAAATCTGTGTTGTGAACACTTTTTTGGTTTATGTATCTATTTATGACATTTTTTTATCTACTCTTCCATTACATTCGAAACAACAACAATTTTTTTTCATGAATTTTATGACATTGACAAGTTTATCATACAGGTACTTTTAATATTTGTATGCATATTTGTACTCTACGACAATGTGTGATGAATGTTTTGTGTTAATTTTGTGACTCTTTAAATTCTTCAATGTGATGTCTTTTTTTGATTTTTCTCTCTTCTGTTTTTCCTCACAATTTTTGGATGCGAGATTATGTCTTTGTTTCGTTTTTTTTTTTGTAAATATATCCGAGTCTTTTCGTTTATGTCACGGCATTAGTTGACTTGCATGACAATATTCTTAAATAAGTTACTAAAGCATGAACTTGGCGATCTTTTTATTTTTGATTATTTTTTTGTGTTATCACTAATTAATTTTATTTAAATTTATGTTTTATTACAGGAAAGACCCGTACAAAGGACAAATATCGTGTGGTATACACAGATTATCAGCGTTTGGAACTTGAAAAAGAATATCATATGTCACATTACATAACGATTCGTCGAAAATCGGAGTTGGCCACATCGTTGCAATTGTCGGAGCGTCAAGTGAAAATTTGGTTCCAAAATCGTCGCGCAAAGGATCGCAAACAAACGAAAAAGCGTGATGGTCCAGTTGGTAGCGGCGGAATTTTAGCGAATAATTGTTCAAATGTTGGTCTTGCATTGCAACATCATAATATGGTAAATGGTCCGTCTGGTTTGGGTGCCGGTTCAATGTATGGTTCATTGGATATTAAGCCAAAACTTGAGCCTGGTTTGTTGTCAAACAGTCATCATTATGGTCATTTGCATCAAGCTCATGCAACACATCCGATGCATCATCTCAGCACAATGAGCATGAATTTGCTACATCACCAATCCCATATGCATCATTCAGCTGCCGCACAAGTTTTACCACCGACACCGATTTCATCGTCACCATCCACCAGCATTCAATCTCAAGCACATTTATCCTCTTAAATTGGCATCGCCTTTAACTCGGCCACCCACCCATCGATAATACAACAACAATCCAACGCCTGGAATTCATTGCTGAGATAATGTGAAAAATGGATGAACATACAAACAAATTGTTATTATTAAAAGAAATAAAGTTGGCAATTAGTAAGGGAAAATAAGAATGATGTCCGTTCCATAGTCCTTTAGATTAGACGATATCACATTTGCGATTTTAATTTTATTATCGCAACAAGAGAATAGATTAAGCATTGAATTCACATGTTTTTTTTTTCTTTTTTTTCTAATTTTAATATCTTTATCAATTAACGAAAACAGTGTTTTGTTTATTAAGTTTCTTTCTTTTTTTTTTATAATTTTTATAATTAGTTAAATATTATCTTTCAACATCAAAAGTGCATTATGAATTTATTAGATAGCCGGAATTGTGTCTAGAATCAATTCTGTTGTCACTTGTTTACCACATTTTGGTAAAAAAAAAAAAACGATTTCTTGTTTGAAGAGAATAAAAAAAATTAAATGCAATAATTACAAAATAAATCCAATACCTCTACATTTCATGCGTAGCGGTTTAAAAAAAAAAGGAATGATCGAGAAAAAAGTCAGATAAGGGCCTGGAATAATGACCACATCATTTTTTTTTTAATTATTAGCAAAATTATGGAAAAGACATATTTTTACTTTGTTTTCTCTCGACAAAGACACAACTGATGCAAAAAATTATAAGTGCAATTATGTAGAAAAAAAAGTAGTGTGTGCAAAATGTAAAGAAACACACAAACAACTCACATTATATACTATGGGATAATGATAAGTTCTGAGCATGTTCAAAAACCGAACGATAGCTGTTCACTATTGGATCAAAACTAAGCGCGATTTAATCATATATATATATACATGTCTACCCACTTAACAATGAGATAATATTAAAAATTTATAAATCACTAATTAGCATTATTCAAAAGAAAAAGTGTTAATTGTCAGCAAATCTTGTATATCTTTAATTGAATGCAACGAAGAAACAAATGAGTTACGAGTATTTGCAAATTAAAACGCACACACACATACACACACAGGCACATTTAGAACACTAAGCTTTGATTGTATGAATTTTCCTCCAATTGGGTCGGTTCGTGGGTGGCAAAATGTTTTTGTCCACTGTGAACTGGCACATACACCACGAAATAAATATAAAAATTAAAATTCATTTCTTTCATCATAATGCTCCAAGTAGAGTTAACATATTTGATGTCAATTTCTTTTGAATATATATCCAACAAATAGGTTTAAGATTTGTCGCACACACCTACATCTCTTTTTCTTTTTCACCGTGATTTGAAAATTAAAAAAAAATATGCATAAATCAAAAATGACGAAAAAAAAGTATGTAAATTATACAATGAATATTCAAAGAAAATCAATAAACGAATAAGAAGAAAAAGTGAAAAAAATTGAAGTTTTTTTATTTAAATTTATTTACATGCATTTTCAACAGGAATTTCATTCTTTTTTTCGCCGAAAAACAATCAGTTCGAAAAAAAATCATTAGTGATATTTTACCACCACAATTTTTCAGAAGGACCTTTTTTCGCATAAAAACAAGTAAAAACTTATATAACCGAAGGTCAATCATTAGCCAGTCATTTTATTTGCGAAAAACACATTAAATTCAATTTTAATGAAATTTAATTTGAATTTCGAAATATGAGCCAATTTCTCCAGTCATTAGTTGAAATTCGAAATTCGAAGCGAAAATATGCGATAGAGGGCACTTCCTGTTGTTGTCCATAATGGCTGCTATTAATGTATATTCAGAAGCGAAGTCATTACGACGATTGCTGTGGCCGGAGACACATGAAAAACACATTTAACAAATAAATAAGATAAAAAAAAGTGACTATTTCATTTAGTTTTCGCATATTATCGCGTCCAAAAATCAGTTCATTTTATTTGTTGACAAAAAAATCCAAATAAAATTGTGAAAATGAGTTCAACCGAAGCCGATAATATTGATAAACTTTATAAAAACTATGAAATTCTTAGCGACGCTAAAGACAAAATTTCTGAGGTTAGTATTTTTTTTTATATGTCAAAGTGTACGTGGATTTTGGTGATTTAACAAAACTCATTAAGAAGACAACATTTGACCGATTGTTTATGTTTGTTTAAATAAACAAAAAGTGTTTTTCTCTTTGTTTTCATTTTCCGTGCAGCATGAAAAGGAATATCGCGAGATTATCGACGCTGTAAAAGGGTCGGAAAAGGAAAAACGCTTGGCATCACAATTTATCGGCAAATTTTTCAAATTTTTCCCAAATTTGGCTGATTCAGCAATTGATGCATCGCTCGATTTATGCGAAGATGAAAACATTCAAATTCGTCGTCAGGCAATTCGTGAGTTACCGTTGCTATGCAAAGACACAAAAGAGCATATCCCGAAAATTGGTGACATTTTGGCTCAGTTGTTGGTTGTTGACGACCCATTAGAGCTACAACAAGTGCATATGTCATTGCAGCAAATTCTCAAATTTGATGCTAAAGCTGCTCTAGCAGGCATTGTAAGTATCTAACTTAAACGAATTTGTTTTTGAAAATTGCATTTCTCCTCAATTTTTTCGCTAAAAAATTCGTTTGATTTGTTCTTTTTGATTTTAGTTCAGTCAAATTTTATCGGGCGATGAAATCACGCGTGATCGTTGCTTCAAATTTCTTGGACTCAAACTAAAGCAATTAGGCAAAGAGATAATCACCGATGAGGTCGAAGCATTTATTATTGAAGACTTAAAAAAGGTTTTGCAGGTAAGAGTTTATTGTTGGTTCGATATTTTCTTGGAATTTCATCTAATATGGTATTTGTTACATTAGGATGTGACTGCAGATGAATTCCAAATTTGTATGAACATTTTGGCATCAACAAAACTTGGCACAACGCCAAAAGGACAGAGTGAATTGGTTGCTTTGGCAGTTGAACAGGCCGAACTTAACAGCGAAGAAGAACCGGTCATCATCGAAGATGAACATGTTGAACGATACATTTTGTGTGCCACTCACGCACTACCATACTTTTCGGTAAGAATCACAAAGATTTTCTCAGATTCGTTGTTTTTTTGGTGTTGTTGTTGTTACTAAATTGAATATTTTCCTATGCAGTCACAAATTGAATCGACGCCATTCATCAAATATGCATGCGAGAAACTCTTCCCATTGCATACATGGAAACTAATTGGCGCAAACGATAGCGACCGTGACCAGCAGCACTTGCGTGTTCTCAAAGTATTCGCCGAAATGACAGCATTCTGTGGAACGCTTGAGGCACCAAATCTCAAGATTGAATCCATTTTCAATGTTCTTCAGGTAAAAATTAACATTTCAATTCGAACATTCTTTTTCTCAAGTAAAATCTTGACATTTTTCACTTGCTACTATTTTCAAATAAATGCTAAATCTCTAAACTGTATTTTGCAGGAGTATATGCCACTTCCACCAATCACCGAGGGAGACGGAGCCATCGAGGAAAATCCATCATTCAAATTTTCACATGCCGAATGTTTGCTGTATGCTCTTCACAAATTGGGCAAACAAGACGTGGAATACTTTCAATTCAAAGACGATGCAAACAAATTGAAGGAGTTCCGTTCGCGTTTACAGTATTTGGCACGTGGTACACAAGGGTAAGTTGATTGTTTTATAGTCGGATAATAAATCCGCATTGCAAACAATGAAACCAAATATAAAAAAATCCATCTTTTTAGGTACATCAAAAAATTGCAAGAAGCTGTTAAAGGCAAGGCACCGAAAAAGGGCGACGATGAAGCCGCCACAAATGAGTATCAAATCAAGATAATTGCATTGAAAACTACGTCAAACATCAGCGCTTTGATTCGTGACCTATTCCACAATCCACCGATTTTCCGTTCAGTCGTACAATTGTCATGGATCACAAAGAAGAATAATGTAAGTTTCACCGTCTGTTTTAAATCACATCCAATAAATAATTTGTGTTCCTTCTCTCTCTTTCTCTTTTACCACATAGGATTCAAACAAACGTCATGCACCAATCACTTTCCAATCGGATGCATCAAACGATGCAAAGCGAAAGAAGATCGGTGCAAAGAGCACCACTTTGCCTACATCGTCGTCCGAACAGCGTTTGTATAAAACGCCCTCTGGTAAATTTTCGGGTAAGGTATCAAATTATTCAAACAACAGGCATAACAGTCGAAATGGTAATGGTAATGGTTTCCGTCAGCGTAACGGTCAAGGTAAAAATCGAAATTTCCGTCGCTATTAATACCCTTACGTACACATACAAACACAAAAAAAAACTATCTATGTGTAATCTATCTAAGTTTCATCTTCGATTCACTTTTATGCGGTCCATTCTATTATGGCCATTATCACATATTGTTTCATGAAATTCTCTAAGTTTCGATCGTTAACAGCCCATTCGGGTCATTGGCCCTCTTAAAATTCACTCGAAATTTATTGGCATCAATCGCAATAAATATAACCTTCACGTCGTGTTCCTTCCATTGTTTGAAGAAATAATAATAATTTTAATAGAGCATACTCTCTTTATCTATTGATCCAATCGTAGATGAAATTTCTGACAAAATATTCACCGTTCAGAAGCAATGAATAGCATTTCGATTACCGTTTTTTTTTATTTATTCACAAAGATCATGGAGATCGCAACAATTTTTTTTCGTACGAATTCATTTTGTAAAACCAGACCATTCTCATTGAAGAATCAGAATTATTTTCAAATTTCACGTTGTTTTTGTGTGCTTTATAAATCACAATAAAATACGAATTTGCAACAACAATGATAAATAACGAACGAAATTAATATACAGCAGAGAGAACAAAAACAATACTAAATCCCCTCGATGGATGCAGAAACAAATGGTTTGATTTAAATTGTTAAGAAAATCCAATTTTTTTAAAAGGATTTTTCGAGTTTTTATTAACTTTTTTGAACATTCGATAAAAAGCTCAGTTTGATAGCATTCAAGTCCATTTCAAAATCACCTAACTTGGATTTGTCGTTTACATAAAACACAATCTTTTTTTGGTAATACGCTCAAATTCGTTCTTTTTTAACATTAAGTTAAAATAAATAGAAACAACAACATCGTTTTTATTTTCTTCAATTAATTATAGTATTTACATATTCAAAAACGGATTTTGATCAATAAAATATATATTGAAAACAGAAATTGTGCATTTTTATTTAATTTTCTCTATTTCAGCGTGGCTTTTGTAAAAATTAGATTTGAATATGAAAAAAAAGTACATAGAAACGAGTGCTATCATTTAAATCATTATTATCATGTGAAGAATGAAATGAGCGCACGAACTGTAGCCAACTTCATGGTACTTCACGGTAATGCTGTCAAATAGAAGAACGAGGAACATATATAAATATCACGTTTTCAGTCATAGACCGGGTGTGCAGCCTTGTATCGCACTTTAAATCATTAAATATTTTGTTTGTCCATCGATTGGAATCAAATTTTTAGTGAAAATTTTGCATAAATATTCGTATTTAGGTAGGTTCAATCAAGATAAATTCAAATTAATTTAATTTTATAGCATTTTCTCATGAAGCAATATTCGTAATAAGAATTGATAATGAAACATAACCTTCACGCAATACAAACTAATTATTGTGAAATTCAAAGATATTTTCTATTCGATATTTTCCGCATTACAGTCGACAATAAAAGTGAAAAATGTCACAAATATTCAACAGACTTAGCCAACTTGGTTTGGGAATGGCTTTAGTTGGTGGTGTTGTCAACTCTGCATTATATAATGGTAAATATTTAAAATTCCAATAATTGTGAATCGCTATCTATTTGAACTGCTATCAATAAATTCATTCTGTCTTTTATAGTGGATGGTGGTCATCGTGCAGTTATTTTCGATCGTTTTGCTGGTATTAAGCAAGCTGTTGTCGGTGAGGGAACACATTTCTTTATTCCATGGGTTCAACGACCAATTGTGTTTGACATTCGGTCGCAACCGCGAAATGTGCCTTGCGTAACTGGTAGCAAAGATTTACAAAACGTTAACATCACATTGCGTATTTTGTTCCGCCCAAAACCCGATCAATTGCCAAAAATTTACACCATTTTGGGCATTGACTATGATGATCGTGTGTTGCCTTCAATCACAACCGAAGTCTTGAAAGCCGTTGTCGCTCAATTTGATGCCAGTGAAATGATTACACAGCGTGAGGTAATTGTCTTGTTCATCTTTTGAATGATACGAGTTCACATAATTCGATTTAATTTCACAGATGGTCTCACAAAAAGTGTCTGAAGAATTGACAGAGCGTGCAGCCCAATTCGGACTCATCCTCGATGACATTTCCATTACACATTTGACCTTTGGCAAAGAATTTACTCAAGCCGTTGAAATGAAACAAGTTGCCCAGCAAGATGCTGAAAAGGCACGTTTCCTCGTCGAAAAAGCGGAACAAATGAAAAAATCAGCCATTATCTCGGCTGAGGGAGATGCAACCGCCGCTGAACTGTTGGCCAAATCGTTCGCCGACTCTGGTGATGGTTTAGTTGAATTGCGTCGTATTGAGGCCGCCGAAGATATTGCATACCAAATGTCAAGATCACGACAAGTCGTTTACTTGCCTGGAAATCAAAGCACTTTACTCAATTTGCCATCCAACTAAACAGTAAAACAAACAAACTATATCGAATACAAATTTAACCAGTTTATAGATTGAATGGCAATTAGAAGCATTTAAATCAGAGAAAAATCAATTGTAACGAATATTTTGTTGCAAAAACTATTTTAAACAACGGAATAGCCTAGACTTTCATTACAAATAAATACGAAATGGATTATTAGTTTAAAACTAAAAAAAAAACCATTGTTGTTTTACTTAAGATGATCATAGAAATACTGAAAAAAATGAAACTAGACGGTGGAAAATATTTTATTTTCGTAAAATTCTTGAAAGAAAATATTATTATCTTTTTATCAAATACATTATTAAAGGGGATTTTTCAAATCAAATTTCATCTACAATGTTCTTCTCATATGAGTTTGTTTTCTATGTTAAACTTTTTTTTAAGTAAATTGGCACAATAACTTTGCATTGACTATTTTTGCACTAAACTGATTTGAAATCACTCCATGAATGACTACAACATTATATCCGAAAAACAAACCTCGCACCATCTCGCACATAGGACTTTATTAACGTTAGGAATAATATGACAAAATATGAGCCACTATTGTAGGTATGTTTTGCGTAAATGTTGCTCTTGCATATTGAATTGCAACATAATTCTAAACTGAGCTTTGCTGTTCACAGGAATATTATCTAAGTTGAGATGCATTTTTCATTATAACAACTTGCTTATTTTGAGGGTGTGTAATAAAATATTGTACTTCATTCAATACTCACCTAGCGAGTGGGTAAGTAACTTAATATAAAATCGGGTACGATTCGGTTATGCATCGATAAGGAATGAGCAAATAGAGTTTCTGAAGCAAGACCCGAGAACGAAAATTCAATAAATAATAATAGCACCATAATTCCTGAGCACTCGATTTGGTAATTGGATATTGGTTAATATTAAGTCATTTAATTTAAAAAATAAGTTTGAATTTTCTTCATCAAGTTTTTGGGGAAAACAGTGTTTTACACACAAAAAAAAACATTTGAACTTCTCGATCACCACTCAATACGAATTTCTCGGGTCTCAAAAAAAAGCCTCCAAAAACACTGTGAACTAAAAAAAAATATTTTGCGATTTGCTTAAAGAGAAAGGATAAGCGGCTTGATAAATCGCTGTGTTATGGGTGGAATTCATTTGTTACAGAAATGGAAATTTTGATTTTAGTGTCTTGTAGCTTAGCTAGTGTTAACCGGTGGTTTTTAACGTAAAATTTGTATTTTTGCGTTCAATGCAATTATTGACTAAATTGAGTGTATTTTGTGTTTTTATTTACTTATTTTTTTTTCGTGTGTGTATGTGTGTATCATTCGAAATAATTTTTTTTGTTTCCATTATCAACAAAGATGAAAATCAACGTCCCCTACAGATATTGAACATACTGGAGAACGAAAGAAAAAAAAACAAATGATAATCGATTGTTAATTGCGATGTATGCGTGTAATTGCGTCTCTTTACGCTTCATCAAGGGGATACGTTTCAGCTTCTTCGAGCATTGAGCGAAAAGTTTTGGTCGGGTTTCTCGATTTTTTTTCTGCATTAATGTTATTTGCTACATGATTCGCATTATTGTTAAATTGATCATTTTCAATTGTTCCCTTGTTATTATTGTGTATAAGGCTAATGTGATTGCTAATTGTTGGCACAGAACCTGAAATAAATTGACTTCATTTAATATCGATTCAATGGAAATGGAACAATGTTTTCGATATGAACGGATACCATAGATACCTGGCATATTATCTAAGTCTTCCACGATTGAATCGATATTATCATTATTTTGTTGCTGTTGAACCATCAATTGATTGGTTTGGCTTTGTGGTTTGTATGCAGCTTCGTGACTTAAACGTGATGTATGCTGGCGTATAACTCGCTCAAATTCCCGCTGAACCGATGTATTGTCCGTATCACCATCGACAATTGATAGCCGACCATCAGCATCCAATACTTTTAACATTGGCAATGTGAGCTCGCGAAATTGTTCCAAACGTCGACGAAACGATGAAACAGTATCATCTAAACGACCTCGACCCAATTGCAATTTCGAACAATCTAACAATATTATTGGCGGCTTTTGATGATACTGAAATAAAAATAAAACACATAATAATGAAAACGATTGGCATTTTCACAAAATTTAATAAGAGTGTCAAACCTTTTCTTGAAAATCAGTAACTTGTTTCATGTCACGCGGATATCCATCGATGATAATGCCTTTTTTATCAGATAAATTTACCAGATGTGTTTCGAGAATTTTTTGTATTGATTGCTTATTGATCATTTCACCAGCGGTGATTGCATTTTTTATTTTATGATTTTCTGTATTTGCTTTTGGATCTGATTCGGCAATAGCACGAACAATACGACCAATACTACAAACATAAGATATAATAATGTCAACTTATTGTCCAATAATCTATTTTATTTTGGATATAACAATTGTTTATTCACCTAAAATGACTCCAGCCCGGATTAAGCGCAACTGCTTTCAAACAAAGGGTACTCTTATTACTGCCAGGACCACCTATGACCTACAAATTTAAACATATGTTTTCGTTCATTTTTTTTTTTTTTTTTTTTTGAAAAAGAAAATTCAATCAAGGCTAGTAGTTAAAAGGTAGGTAAATAGTTACCCATATGATTGGAGGTAAATTTGCTACGTCAATATTATTATTATTATTTAAGGTGGTTGTTGGTTCGTCTAAGATATGTGTCACTTCAATACGTGGTGTTTGCTCGATTGGTGTTTGTACGTGTGGTGTTGGTGGTTTTACATTTCCCGGTTCAATGGTTTCCGATGCCTCAGCTTCGGCTTCAACATTACCTTCTGGAGCGGTTTCAACGCTTACAATTGTACCCGGTATGTCATTTATACCTAAAGATTTTGAATTTGTAAATTTTGAACTGTTTTTTTCTTAATTTGCAGTAAAAAACATTTGAAAATTTTGCGGTAAAAACCAAAAAAATGTGTTTGAAAGAAAATGGGGAACATTTTTTACCTTTACCCATTCCAACAACCCCATTCATTAGAGCATTTGGGTTGTCTTGCGAACCAAGTATTTCAAAAACTGCACTCCTAAAATCTCTGTACACTTCGTCCGGTGGTCGTTCGCCAACCACAACACTCAATAGGCCACTTTGATCAAAATATTCGCACACTGGCATCACATTTTTATAGAAATTGTCCAATTCCATTTTCGCCAATGATAACACCACCTACAGTTATCAATGATTTAATAATCGTATCATTTAAAAGAAGGGAAAAAAATCATTTCTCACCTGTCCAAGTTTGGCACCATATTCAATTTGTTTTTGTAAGAGTTCATTTTTCCATTTAACTAAAATAACACCACTGATAACTTGAATCTATGCGAATGCGACAAGAAAAGAGAGAAAAATCATATTGATCGAACGTAATAATAATGATAATAATTGATGTGTGTAAAGGAATTCAACATTGATTTTGTTATATTGGTTGTGGGTGTGTAATGATATGTACCTTATCGGAGTATTCCACCACGTCACGCATCGAACGAGGAAAACCGCTTATAAGATATGCCTTTGCGGCTGGTGCCATTTTGATTTCCAGCATCAAAACTTCGGTCATAATTTTTGATGATAGATTCGAAAAGTCTTGCATATCTACCGATGAAAGTTCCAACACATCAATATACATAACCACATCGAATTGAGAAGAAATAGTAAATTGAATGACAATTTTGTTCGGGTTCAAATTGAATTCAAAACCAAAAAAAAAAACACACTATACCATTGCTAATAACGTGCTGATGAAGCAGGTCCATCATATTGATATGTGTAACACCACGTTTTTCATGCATCAATGTATCACAATGTGTTACTTTTCCACTGCCCGGACCACCTAAAGTTGTCATACAGCAAAAAAGAGACGATGAAAAGTGATAAAAACTAAGTGAAAATTCTGTGACATAAAGTAACAACAAAAATGAGATATGGCCCGAAGTGAGAGAAACAAAAAAGAATCCAACTTTTACCCAGTACAAATATCACCGGAACAGAAGGGGGATCAAACTTCACTTTTCCCGCATTCGGCACCGCCATTCCGCCCGATGTTTTCGATGTACCCGATCGACTTTCACTACCACGTCCTTTCCACTCAGCTTGTTCAGAATCAGGTGCAGTTGAATTTGCTTCTGGGAAATGAATGAGATAGAGTTTACGATGACTTGTAAAGAATGCGACACACAAACAATACAAGATTAGCTTTGTAAGTACTATATGAAACAAGAAAATGTTGTGATAATCAGAAAACTTGCACCAATTATAAACGGTTCGTTAGCTCACAACACACAGTTACTATAGTTGAATTTCAATCTATCTCTCTGAACGTTAACGCCGACGACGAAGTTGTTTATCAAAATGACTTTATGAATACAATGCGCTTGGTCTTTTATAGTTTCAGTTTTCCATCAGTATTCATTTCGTGTGACATCAATAATGATATCTCTTGTTTTTTCTTTCTTGATTGTATCTGCGTTTGGCCGCCCAATTTCAACACCATTCTACTACCATTAATGACTATATCTTCTGTCTTTTTCTGGTCCACGTTTTTGCCCGTCGGAAGTTCTACATTTATATTTATTGTTTAAATAGTGGAACATCATTTTATGAATTAATAAATGCTTATGCTCGGCATGCAAAACATCACCAGCACCAGCAGCAGTAGTATAGTGAACGTGGAACGAAATGTTCATTCATATTTTATACAAACAGATAAACACACCAAACAATTTTCTCAGAAATTTGAATTTTCAACACACGGACACGGACACACATCGTTTGAACTAGTAGCTACTTATAACGGGATAAATAAGTTAATATTCCAGATAGTAAACAAGATTGGCATTGAATGCCATATATTCATATCGATTACGAGAGGTTTTATGTGAGCACGACCGACCGTCCGCTATTCAATTCAATGGATCGCATTTACAAAGTCAACAAGTTTTTTTCTCTCTCCTTGCTACATAATAATGGTGTGTATTTTGAAATAATATTCATACATTTATTGTAGTACGAATTTTAATAAAAAAAAACCCTTTGGGGGGTATATTTGGGGTAAAAAATAAAAAAATTCTATCGGAGCAGAATTTTGCATTTTCCAGAGGGGATGGGGGTGCTCCAAAATTTTTAAAAGTTCATCCGATCAAAATATAATGTACTACAAAGTTGTTCAGAATGACGAGAGAATTTTTTTAGGACCCCTGCCCTCCAATTCCTTAAGGGAGGTCGGGGGGTCAAAACCCCCAAGCTATGATTTTTTTACCTGAAACCCCGAAATCGGAATCAGCATGCAAAAATACTTAAGAATTGATATTTTTCTCATTCACCTTTTTGGCCAAGTTTCAGTGCCCCAATACGGGGTCAAATCTTACAAAGTCGATTTTACACTTATTTTGGTTCAGAATTTTTGAAAAAAGGCGAATGAGGATGAGGGTTTTTCAAAATTCCCAGCCCCCTGGAAAACCCGATTATATGCGCCACCCTGTATATAAAGTTTGGAAAATAGTAACCATTTAATGACATTGTATGCTCAATACATACACACAAATAGTGAGCGTACAGAGACCTTCTAATATTTGTGAATATTCATAAGTTGAATATTTAAATCACTTTTGAGAATCTAATATATCAAAGACAACTTAATGCGATTAAAATCGAATTTATTTATATGAATAGAGAATAAATTATGTGTGCGAATGACATTTTTTTCAAAAATTGTTTGTTTCACGAAAAATTTCCATTTAAATTGGCAATTTGTCGATTTCATTGCAAAGCGTTTTGTAATTAGACATTTTTTGCCATATGCCATGTTTTTCTTTGACTGTAATGATTGCTTTGCAAATTTTTCCACGCCGTACACATTTAATAAACTGCATGAGTAACGAACTCAAATGTAGTTATGATACGTGCGGTGACGACGTTGTCAAAAGACAATGAAAATGAATGAGAGATACAAAAAATAATCGATAAAAAACGAATTTCGAATGTACGATAAATTTGCCGCGACTGAGCATTTATCAATTCCGCTTTGAGACGAAAAGAATACAGAGACCAAAAAAAAAAAACAAAAAACAGCAAATGGCATGGAGAGAGAACACGGCACGTGTTTCTATGAGCTTTCGATTTGGATCCATTGACGTTGGTCGGATACAAAAAACGCACACATATTAGAACAATGAATGAGTAAGTTTTGAGCTTGGACAATGGACAGGTGTGCGGAACAAGTAAAAACCAGCTTAGTCCACGTAGTGTGCAAGTAAATTGTTGCTTGTTTGGGAAA